CTCCAATTCATAGATGAGGATACTAGAGCGAATACAGTACTTAATAACATACACATGGTACCAAGGTCTGAATTCAACTGATTCTATAGGCAAGCAAACCACACTGTTCTCAGGTATGTGGTTGTTGATACTTGTTTCTAAAGTGCTCTGAAAAGCATAAGGTAAAAATATCAAGATTTTTAAAAATTAAACTTCCCTATCAATGAGATCCTCTCCAAATCACATAAGCCATTCATCCTCAAAACTGTACTTGCCCATGCTGTCTTTTAATTACATGCAAGCACTTTTAAAAATTTAACACTGATGGGGCTGGGGATGTGGCTCAAGCGGTAGCGCGCTTGCCTGGCATGCGTGCGGCCCAGGTTCGATCCTCAGCACCACATACAAAGATGTTGTGTCTGTTGAAAAATAAATATTGAAATATAAATATAAATAAATATCAAAAAAAATTTAACACTGGATTTTTTTCAAATTTAAAACTATATATATAAAAGAAAAAATTTAAGTCACCTGGGTGGAGGGAAGGCATCCTCCCAACCCCAAATCTTCAATCTTTACTTAATCTCATTGTACTGACCACCATTAACAGTATCTGAAAGAACTATCCATATGGGGTTCCAGCCCCAAGATATTTAGGGTGGCTTAGTCTTTTTTTTTGAGAATGAATTTTTTAATATTTATTTTTTAGTTTTCGGTGGACACAACATCTTTATTTTTATGTGATGCTGAGGATTGAACCCAGCACCCCGCGCATGCCAGGCGAGCACGCTATGGCTTGAGCCACATCCCCAGCCCCTGGCTTAGTCTTCTTAATTAATCTTTCTTTAGGCCTAAAACCAGGAATGAATGTAGGAAAATGCATCAACAGTATATACTCTTGTTAAAAGCAAATTTCTTTGAAAAATTCTAAACCCCTACCAGTTTCAGTGAAACACCACAACTATAATGAGCTGGACACACACCAGTGCATGCCTATAATCCCAGTTTCTCACAAAGCTGATGCAGGGGGATCACAAGTTTGAGGTCGGCATGTACAATTTAGCAAGATCCCGTCTCAAAATAAAATTTAAAAAGAAACCATAGTTCGTTTTTAATGGTAGAATACAAGGCACTGGGTTCAATCCCCAGAAAAAGAAAAAATGTTTAATGATAATGTTGAGATAAAAAAATGGAATTCTTGATAATAACAGTAATTCCTGACATAATAAAGAGAATGATTAACATTAGGAAAATAAAAAAAACTAAAAAGTTGTCAGAGTTAAAGCATTTATAGAGAATAGTAACTAGTCAGGCATGATGCAATCACAGCAAATTGGCTGAGGCAGGAGGATTTCAAGTTTGAGCACAGCCTCAGTAACCTAATGAGTGAGACCCTGTCTCAAAATTTAAAAAATAAAAAGGGCTGTGAAGTGGCTCAGTGGTACAGTACTTCTGGGTTTCATCCCCAGTACCTAAAACCACTCAATAACAACAACAAAATGAAATCATAACAAAAAAGTAACTGTTATTAATGGGACTATAAAACATCAGATAATCTGCTAGATGGTTTTAATCACACTATAAACAGATACTACCTGTAAGTAATCCAAAGTAAATAAGCTGAAGTATTCAACCACTTATTCCCAAGGACAGAAAACGCCTTCCACTAAAGTTTGAACCATGGTGGAAAAAAATCTGATCTCTTTCAATATACCAATTTGCTACCCGAAAGAATTAGCTGAAAGGTAAGAAATGAAGGCAAGCTTGATAACAGCCTGCTCATTCCATGAAGTACTTCAACAATTTTTCTCCTAACAGTTTCAGCATTCATTGATGACAGGTGCCAGTTTACAGGATAAATGGGGATTAGATGAATGCATGTCACTATGATAAAATAATTGAATACGGTTAATTCTCTAAGACAAATGACCCAGTTTTATAAGCAATAAAGTAGAATGGGGAGGAAAAGGTACAAAGTGATTAAGAGACCTGAGACATAGAAAAATGTTTTTAATTTTTGAAGCTGGGAAATATAGTGTTTCATTGTACTTTTGTGTATTTTGAAAAATCACTTGTTATAGAACTAGCCAACTTCCCCAAATGACTTATATTAAAATCTATTCATATCAGGGAGATTTCTACTTTTAATCACACTGCAAAAGGCTGGACTGACAGTTATAAAACTAAACTTGACTTTTGAGCATTATATTACCTTTCCTAAAAATCTAATAAAACAAGACCAATCAACTACCCAAATAAAACCTACATTAAGAATTATTGGAAATTAGCTGGAGACAGCAACTTCAAATGATCAAAAATCTTTTTTTAGAAGTTGGTTCCATTAGTTTGTAAACATACATTCTACTAAACCTACAGTGGTTGGCTACTATTGGTCATAATAAATTCTTCTAAAATTTATTATCTGAAAACATAGCTTGTTAACCAAATACTGGCTGTGTATCTTAAAAATATTTGCACCATATTTTGTAAAATCAATATTTTCAAATTGGAGAGTTAAAAACTCAGGCTACTTGATGGCCAGTGTTTTTTTCATTCAAGGATGTTGATGTAAGACATTGGTATTCACCTACCTACCTACCTAAAACAGAATGACATGCTTTCAAAAACAGCCATATCATCTAAATCATTTTGATAGAAGTCTATCAACTTGTAAAGAAAAATGTGAATGAAAGAAATAAAAAAAAAAGCTATTAACCATTACTTTTCATTTCATTCCAAGTCATTTCACAGAACTATGACTAAATAAAACTGATCAAGTTATTGACTCATCAATTTGGTATATCACTACCAAGCACAATGCTAAATCTTACAAGTATGAATTTATACGTCACAATTCAGTCATAATTATTGGGAGACTTTGCCCTGTCATTTCCAATTTCTCTAGCATCTAGCTCTTCCAACTACCTGGAATAATTCCAGTTTTATGAAAAACCACAAAACTTCAGAGTGGTAGTTGTCTCCTACTGTCAGTTTACTAACAAGATTCAATTTAATTAATCTACTCTGATAATACTCCATGAATGTATGGAGGAATAAAAAACTCAGGCAGCAATGGAAACCACATATTCATCTGCAATTTTAAAAAGATCTAATGAGAAAACCACGCTAGACGAGGTTCCATCAAACAGATATTAAATTACTAAGAAAAATACCTAAATCATAAATGATCCATATTTATACACTGACCACGGTTTAGACCTTTTCACTTTTAGTGGTGAACTCCAAGCACTATAAAATAAACAAAAAATCCTGGAGCTTTTAGAAAACCAAGTCCAAAAGTACAAGGAAAAAGGCAATTAAGAGCAGAAATCTGATCCCAAAGAACATGAAGCATGGGCTGGGAGGTTTTGACAGGACAGTAGCAATGGAGAAGGGCTGTAGAAAGGATGGCAAACATCTTAATCTATACAGCAACACTGTTAGCCTCAGGACAAATACTTTTTAAAGAAAAAATGCTAATGCCAAATGCTCCTTTTAAAAAACATTTTCACAATACACATGCATGTCCCTGGGTCTCTTGATATATGATGCTCTGTACCTTCTTAGGATTTTGCCAGCAAGAAGGGCATGATCAGATGCAGATACTTGACCTTGGGCTAGACCATGAGTCAAAACACACACACAAAACAAACACAAAAACAGAAACCCACCAAAAACCAAGAAATCAACCAACCACTTTTCTTCATGATTACCCAGTGTTTGGTATTGTGTTATTAGCAACAGAAAATAGACTAAGACACTCAAGTGATCTAATCTAATCTACCTATACCTGTTTACTCATCTGGTCTGTCCAGACAAGACTAACTTGGGATGTTATGTGTACGTATAATCATGTTTTAATGAACCTCACGTTATGTATAATTATAATGTACCAATTAAAAATTAAATTAAAAAAGAAAAAAAACAGTAACAAAATAAAGCTCAACTATTCTGAAGAGTATGTCACTGTATGTGATTCCATCAGAAGTCTAAATATTATTTAAATGACTCTACAACTTATCTAAATATGTCTAGTCAACTTTCAGAACACATTACACTGGTAAATGCTAACTCTAGGGGAATCTAGCCTGGTTTTATTATTTATCAGGCAAGAAAATTCCAGGCATTTTCTGTTTAAAATATACAGATGTAATTCAAATCTGTCTGTAATGCACTTATGAAATGAGGATACTTTCAACAAAACAACCATAATAACCAATTATGAATTCTATAATGATAAATATTTCAACCTGGCAGATTGAACAAAAAGCCTTTTTTCGTTTACTACATTAAGTAACATTTAGTTTTTATGTGAAAACAGGCACAGTAAGAAAAATACCTATAAGCAAAAACTCCATTAAACAATTAAGTTCTGTAGAGCTCTCTTCCCCAAGTTTTTTCTAATAAAACCCTTTTTTGTTTTTCCAAGTAAGGATTAACACACAAGCACACACTGCTTAAAATAGCCTTAATTCTTGTAGGCTTAGGTTTAGGTATTTACTTAATTTGATAAGGAAACGTAATAATTTCAAGACTCCTCCAGGACTCTGCATTAAAAACTAAAACCTCGCTTGCCTAGCAATGCATGAAGCCCAGGGTTCCATCCTCAGCATCACCAAAAATATCCCTCAAAACAAAAAATCTCAGGCATCAGAAGTCCTATTTTTATATCTGTGACTCACCAAAGAGTTATTGGAAAAGTATGGTTTTCCAAGCTGACTTTCCAATTAGACTTTAATCTTCAATGAAGTATGTACTTGGTGTTTTATTAAACAACCTGTCACGATGGACAAATTGAATGACTTTCCATGAATGCCTACTTGCCCCCACTGATCCAATAAAATGATACAAAACCTATAATTTAATGAAACTAATAGTAAATATTTTCTATGAGTTTTGGTTTCCAATATTTAGGCCTACCTAAGTTAGTAATAATGATTACCTGTACAATTATTCCAGGAAAAAACTGAAAATTTTTAAATTTGAGGTACATAAATAATATTCACTTAAGAATAAAGTAATCAAGATTTCCTTTTACTTAAAAAAAAAAAAATCACTTCAGAGTCAAACTTCATGTACAAAAGACAAGACCAATCACTTTATCACTGGACACAAAGGTAATTCCAAAGGCCTTTAAAAATGGTAATTAATCTCAAAAAGGAAAATTAATTTCAACTTTTATATTTCATTCATTATCAAGACCATACTGCTTAACAAGGTAAATTTGCTATAGATACAAAACATACAGTATATACACTTAACTGTACAAAATAATTTAATGTTTACAAAAATATTAGAATGTTTAGTTGACTGACACAGTCTTAAAGTAATCTCTTCTAGAGAAGTATATAGTAAGACCACTGATTTCCATTTCATTTCTTTTTTAATAAGTCAAAGAAAGGATGCTGCAATGCTTCGTCCAAGGTGATTCTTTTAGTTGGATCATATTCTAACATTCTTCGAACAAGGTCAAAAAGCTTCTCATGTTCTTCATCATGACTGAGCATAAATTCCTGGAGGAAAAAAATTTTGTTAAAAAAGATACTAATAATAGTGAAAATTTATTTTTCTTTTAATCCTTTTTTCTTTCACCTTTAATGGTTTGCAGCGTCTCCTAACATATCTACCAGCAGAACTATGTTCATCCCAATCTAGCTGGTTATGGTGAAAATACTTGCGTTTCCTAGAAGGAAAAAGAAATCTGGATTAATAAAATACTAAAAGATCTACATTTTTACCTTGCCCCCTGGCTGGGGGACAGATTAAAGAATGACCTTTTTTCTTTAGATATATAAACACCTATATACAATTAAAAAAAGTCTCAGTGACAAATGTGCATGACACTTTATATAGTATTTTCCTTTTTCTGCCCCCATCCTGTGGGGTTTTAATATTTCAACTAAAATTTTTCCCAAATATAATGGAACAATGCCAGCTTTAAAAATAGACACTGTTGGATCCATTCCTGTCAATTCTGCTTTCACTAGATCTGGAATAGGGCTGTAAATCTTGTAAATAACTCCCTAGATGACTTCTGTGGTGAAGTATGTTTGCAAACCACTATAGTGTTAATCAAACTTAGGAATGTTATTCTCAAACTTAGACTGATATGAGTATAAAAAATAAGCTTTCCCACCTCTATTTTTATTTTTACATCAACTTAGGAAAACATGTATGTAAAGGTTAAGTTTAAAAAAAAAAAATCAAATAAAACAAAAACCTTCCATCTTTTAAAAGAACATAACATAAATACCGTTTTGTTGTTGTTGTTGTTGTTGTTTTGGGGTTTGTTTTTTTGGTGGTAACGGAACTGAACCCAGGGTCTTGAATATGATGGGCAGTTACTCTACCCACTGAACTACAGCCCCATCCTTGAATTATTTTTTTTAAATGGGTTAAAAGACGTAAATCTAAGTAATCACTAACATAGAATTTTTTTTTTTTTTTTTTTTTTCAAAATCCACAGTCCTTGAAACAAGCATTATGACCATGTTAAGTTTTCTGTGTTGCAATAGAGGCCATTGCATGCATCCAATGAAGAGCTTTAATCTTTAAACATACCTTGTTTTCTGAATCATGTGTGCTGGTATGGGTCCTAATATTCGTTCCATCATGGCCAGATGCTCTTTACTATCATGAGTCTGAAAAATGTGGAAAAAGAAAGTTTAGCACTCTTATTTCCCCACATGTACATTAAAAAAAGGACATAAGAATATGATGCTTACATAAAAGAACTAGACAGCTATACAATTTACACTGCACACTTCTCCAAAGATGAAACAATACTGAACAAGCTAGTCTTGGAGACGGAATAACAAGGTCTGCATAGTGAGCAACATGTAACTTGTTTAATGTAAAACAGAACAATTTCCTTCACTATTTGTATTTTTCACACTGTTTAACTCAAGAACTGGGGAAGATTACCAGAAATCCTGTTACCTCTTCATTTATTTTTTTAATTTATTTAATTTATTTTAATTTTTATTATTGGTTGTTCAAAACATTACAAAGCTCTTGACATATCATATTTCATACATTTGATTCAAGTGGGTTATGAACTTCCATTTTTACCCTGTATACAGATTGCAGAATCACATCGGTTACACATCCACTTACCTCTTCATTTAATCAGCTGCTTAAACAAAAGTTAACCTCCATTATCAAACAAATAGCCAGCCTACTTACTAACATTAATCTCAGGTGCTGAAAATACCCGATAATTCTCACAACAATCCTCAGCTGTATATGTGGGAACATGAGTTCAAAGAGGTTAAGATACTACCTTAAAGTCACATGGCTTATAAATGATGAAGAATGAGCCATAAACAATACAAAGCTCATATTCTTTCCACTGATATAGCTTTGGCTTTATAAAGTAGAATATGGCAATTTTTTTCTTTAAAGGCCACATAATAAACATTTTAGGCTTAGCTGCTCACAAATAGTCCCTTATTTAATCATCTTTAAAAAAACCAAACAAACATAAGGCACAATTCACCATGGTCATCATTTGCCACCCCTCGTTTTAGGGAGCAGGGTTGTGTGTGATTGCTTTTTAAATCTACCAACTATAGTGTCAAGCACACTGCCTTCAAAACGTTATTAATTCATGAAAGGAATAAATATTATTAGTTCCCCATTTAAAATTAATGTTAATAATATACATTTCACTTAAGGCCTTATAAGTGCTTTACAATTATAAAATCACTTGAAGCACCTACTTAACTCAATCAGTGGGAAGAAAGAATGCATTCAACCTTACTTTTTCTTGACTCTACAACTTACTACAAAAAAACCAGACACCAATTCCTACAATAGATTGATAACAACGGTCCTGAAGACATTAAACTCATCTACCAACTCAAGAGTACTTTTTGACTGATTTTCTACAAATCAGACAGGAACAGAAGCCTGGTGAGGTGCCCCACAAGCAGTGAACTCGTACGTGTGTGATAATGACCACCTCCATGACTCAACTGTTCATAGCTTCACTTGCCTCTGTACTGCTTAACTTCAAAAGTCAACCTCAACAGTTCTGAACTACATCTTCACAATCCTTCCCCGAACAAAGCAAAGTTGAACAACGGAGCATCCTGATCATACCACAACTCTACTTATTCTCCAATGGTTGCATTATCTAAAGCTATCAAGACTTTTAGACTCCAGATGTACTTAAAAATTTATAAGAAAAAAAATGGAAACCAAAACAGAGTTTCCTACTTTTTATTTCACCAAATAAGGACTTCTAACTTTAAAAATTCAACTACTGAAGCCAGGCATGATAGTGCACAGCTGTAATCCCAGCATCTCAGGAGGCTGAGGTAGGAGGATCGTGAATTCAAAGCCAGCCTCAGCAACCTGGCAAGGCCCTAAGTATAAGTCACTCAATGAAACTGTCTCTATATAAAATACAAAAAAGGCTGGAGGTGTGGTGTGGTTCAGTGGTTAGGCACCCCTGGATTCAATCCCTAGTGCCCAAGAAAGAAAGAAAGAAAAAAAAGAAAGAAAGATTCAACTACTGAAAAGAAAAAAAAAGCTAAAATAATAAAAGTTAACTACCAGCAAAAACTACCATCATTTCATAAAAGGGAGATTTTAATATGAAAAAAAAAGAGGTGTAACATCTAATAAAAGGATAGAATGGCAATTCTATAAAATCATTTTCACTTTGGACCAGCCCATATTTGGAAACCACTGACTTCAAGGATAAAACAAATACCCTTCTCAAAGGTATATGCCCTTTCTGTCAGTTCTTGTCTTCATTTTCCCATTTACAGGAAATACTCCAATAAATACTTTTCTTCCCTAACTAGAACATAATCTATTTCTCCTTCCTTATAGGCCCCGTCACATTCTTGTTTTCTGACTAGCTAGCTCCTATTCTTCCTTCTAGCATTAGCCAGAACTCCCCACCTCCTCAATGATTCCTTCTCTAATCCAGGGAACCCTCCCTGAAGCCTCCCTACATTTTCTACATTGTTCCATTGTAGCAAACACCACATTACATTGGAATGATTTTCAACGACTTCCCTGAAGACTTAGAAATGCCTAAGACATCATGGAAGCTGTTTTTTAGTGTAAAATACACTTGTTACTGAATTCTTTTCTAAATAAAGAAGTGACTTGTTCATGGTCATATGATAGTCAACATAACCAGAGCTGAATTAAAACTAGCCATGTCAACACTAATGCAAATTTATGAAAGAGCTCTATAATTTAAAAAATGGAAACATGAGGCAAGATGAACCAACCATACATAAACCATGTGTTAAAGACACATCAATCACATTTAAATGAGTTATGCTATTCACTAACAGTATTTAATTCAATTGGGTTCTAAAGGATAACCATTTGCATATGCAAGTTTTAATAAAGAATAGTGATCTATGGCAACTTTCCAATAAGGAAACTAAAACCAACATTTAAAATTCATTGTAAATTATTAAATAAAATTTACTACATACATACCTGAAAGACTGTGAACCCAAGGTAGTATTCAATGAGAATGCAACCTATACTCCAAACATCACAAGGCTGAGACCAACCTAAAGCTATAAAACATAAGAATGTTATTATGCAATAATTTTTAATCTTCTATAAGTCCTTCCCTATATGGGTGAACTCTTTTGAATAGTCTATTTGGGAAAATACGAGAACAAATTCAGGGTTTACACTTTGAAGTTTTGTATCAAACATTATCCAGTATGATCTCATTGGGAGGGGACATTTTATGTAAAATAAAAGGGGACTAGCACATTTTCCAAATATAACTACCAATTCTATATTCTTTGAACTGCTTACACAGGGGAGAACTATACACTATATACTCAGTTCATGGATGGCTCAGGAATTTTTACCTTTTATCAGTGCAAATACAGGTTTATAATTATCCTCAGAGAATATAATTACTTATCCCCTATCTATTATCATAAGTTTGATACATGAGTTTACATCTTCTATTAAAAGAAATATTTGACATAAATTATGTAAAAATTCTAATAGGAATTAAAAGCAGTTTCACCTATAAGCAGAAATACTTAAGTTCACACAAAGAAGGAGAAATACATGTATTTCAGGCTGGCTGTACATGATACTTTCTCCTTTTTTCCAATGGCAATACTATTCTGGAAAGAATAAAACACCTATCCTTCTTAGACCTAGACTCAACTGGAAAGGAGAATAATAAACCATACAGGATATTTTAATCTTTTAAAGACCAAACATTTAGTAAAAGAATGCATAAATAAAGCTACTTTAAAAAACATTTCAATTATGACACTCAAGTTAAAGACACAGGAAAAAAAACAATATATTCAAAGGCCTTGAGGAGTATGATTTAGTCATTTCTGTTCATTCTCATAATGCTTATCGTTTGAATCTAATCTGACAATTTCCAGATCCTTTGCCTCAAGGGCAATGACTCCAATTCCAACTTATAGTTAACATATCCAGAATCTGTAAATGCTATAACCTGGACTGCAAATAAAAGTTTTTTTCTTTAACTACTCTTATCTACAATCTAGGTTTTTCCCAGATGATTGTAACTTTCTGCAGCATATCATCTCATTTTTGGGTGAGTCACCTCTAATATTCTGGAATTCTCCATCATTCACTTTTCCCACCCTTTCCAGGCCTTACCTGTTTACTATCAACAACCAAGACATCATCCCTCTATTGTAGCACCAGATTACGTCTTCCTTTCAACCTGCACCACCAGCTTCCACCCTCAGGAACGCTCCACAGATATGCCAAAAGATCCTTCTAATCGCCCAATCTCCAGATTTCTCTGAGGCCAATGAATCCAATTCTAGACTTATATCAACTCTCCCTTACCTGGAACTTTCTCAATAGCAAGTACTCAACCCCATCTTTCACTTTAAAATTTTTCCTTTTTATTTCGAACTCTGCACTTTAACTCATTTTCTTTTCCAGCCTTTCTCCTATCAATGGTCATCAAGAAACTCTCCACTTGGAGAGTTTCTTTCTTCTCCTCTTGATCTTTATCTACCCTACGTCTAGAGTCTGCCAGATAAAACCATTAGCATTTTTACCAGAACCATAATTTTGTGAAGGCATAAAAATGGGTACCTACAAAATTTCAAAATCACAATGCTATGATGAATTTAGCTAATGGAAACTGCTCTCTTATGTTAATAAACCCATTAAAAAATAATCACCCTTTGGAATGCTTCACAAGTGGTATCACATTCATATTATTCAGAAAATAATATTTATAATAATGTTCACATGTTTTTAATGAAAAACAAAATGTTTTCTGTATATTGCTAAAGTTACCATTTTAGCCATGAACCCCATCCACATAAATCAAAGCTATTAAGAACAAAACTCTCTTCTTTAATTACAGTATAATGAAGTCTGGTGTCTACTGACCCAAAATGACCTCTGGAGCTCTGTAGTGCCGTGTGGACACCAAAGTACTGTGATGTTCATCATCATATGTTGCACTTCCAAAGTCGACAACTTTAATATCTGTGTTTTTTAGTGTGCGTTCATCACGTTTCTACAAAATTGAGAAAACATAAAACTAATAAAGACATTTTATAACACTACTCAAAATACTGAACAAAAATAATCTTTCTTTCTTTTTTTCTGCTGGGTGCTGGGGATCAAGCTTAAAGCCTAGAAGGGGCTATGCTAATAATGTTCTACCACTGAACTACATTCCGAGACCTACTTTTTTGGCGATTAAAAATTGAACATAATGGGCTCAGAAGTAAAATTCCTCATGCAAAGATCACCAAACTAAGCTAAATTTCAAAGATAATCACTTAAAGCAAGTCTTTTACTTACCATTTTAGAATTATATTTGACTACATAGTCAGACTTCACAAATAAAATATTTTCAGGTTTCAGATCTGTATGTGTTAATTTATTATGATGCAAAACTACAAAGAGAACAAAAAGACATTATTAGTTTTACCTAGAAATTGAATTGGTAAATGGGAGGGATGAAGGAGAATTAGCAGTAGATATGGTGATCAAGAAGGGTTTCATCTTTACCTGGGGTATGTATGTATATTTTGATGACAATTTTTAATGTTTTTTATAATAAAAATCTTAAATTTTCTGATTTTAAAAATTTATCAAATATACTTACAATTTATTGATTGGCAGATCTGATAAGCCATCTGCCTGATGTGATCAATCTGAAATGGCAGAAAGCTGTTTTCTTTAATGAAATCATAGGTACTAAGTCCCAGCAGTTCAAACACAATACAAACATGACCATGATGATCAAACCATTCTAGCATCTGGACACATCGGCTAAAATAAATCAAAATAGCAAGTTAGTTCATAGAATTGTGATTATTTTTCGTAATAAAAATGGCCCAAAGTTCAATTTATACTTACAAGACACTATTAGGATCTGTACTATTTAAATGCTCCAATACTTGGATTTCTGAACGAGCTGCTTCACGGTAACGGCCTACATTTTTTACTATTTTCACTGCTACATGTAAGCCATCCCTTAAAAACAAAATTAAGAGGAATACACTAAATATATGGCAGTGGGCTGAAGCCATTTATCCTTTAAAGTATAATTTTAATTATTAATCCTCTATGCTATTTTTTTAAAACCATCTTTTAGATTACACCAAATTCTATACAACATCTTTTCCATACAATCAAACAAAATATACTTTATATGAAGCAATAATTCCCTTAATACTTATGAATTTAATGTTTGTTCCTAAAAGTTTACATTTATGTAGATTTTATACAAAAAAAAAGTAAATAAATATATATAAGAACACAAACCAATAACAGAATATGCTACAGTTGAAAACATTCACTCATTCACCAGGCTAACCTATTCTATGCCAGACAGTACACGTTTTAGGGACAAAAAAACATTGGACTTGTTCCTACACGCCTCACACAGTCTAATGGAGTTCTTCACAGAACAGGTGAAGCCCCAACAAAGACAAATTAAAAAAAAAAAAAATCTTATTTATACAATAAAGTATAGAGTCCTGAAAGATAGCTTTGATTATCAAATTGGGAGAGAAATGAAATATTTGGGCAAAGACACCACCCTAAAGTCAGGAAGCCAAGACAATATTTCTTAGCTTAGCATATTTATGATGCAAATATGCAGAAACAGCAAGAGCACAGGGTTCAGGGATTTACAAAAGGGCACTTGTATAGAGCCATGAATATTTTGACATCTTCAACTTCCTCTTGCCTCTGTTCTACACCAGATCTACTTGAAGATGAACTAGCACTCAAGCCTTTTTCACTAGGTGCCTCTACTTTACAAAAGAAAACAAAATCTCCTCCTCTTGTAAGATATCTTTGGGGTTAACAAACAAATGATACTGGCTGGATACCAAATCTTTTTCCATGTTTGCTAGTTTCCAAATCATTGCTTTCATCAAGGTCTCAATAAAGTTGTAGCATGATAAGCCATTTAAATGTTTTTTGATAATATTCTCCTTAAGATGTTTAGCATGTATCTCCAGATTTACCAAAAATTGTTATAAAACAGTTGTTGGGGCTGAGGATGTAGCTAGCTCAGTGGTAGAGCACTACTCGCCTAGCATGTACAAAGCCTGGGTAGTTAAATCACCAGCACCCTCAGAAAAGAAAGGGGGGCAAAACAAATGGCAAAACTCCTACTCCCATATATTTAATTATATGATCAATAAGCTTTTTTTCTCAGTGTTTATATCTATAAAAACAAAAAAATAGAATGCCAAACAGTACTCATTTTTTTAGAAGCCAACAATCCCAATACAAGACACGCTTCAATAAACTTTTTATGTCTAATGAATAAAAAAATATGTAATGTTAGTACTTGGATCAATTAGAAAACCTTGATTAATCAAGAGAATCTCAGGAAATTATTTAAAAGGCCATTAATGAACAATTGGTGAAATCTGAATAAGATTAGCTGGCAAAATCTGAAAATATATGTATATGTAGATAATAAAGGAAATATTGTCAAACGTTCACTCTGGGGAATCTGGGTGAAGGACATATGGGAATTCATTGAACTATTTCAGCAACTGTTCTGTGAGTCTACAAATATTTCAAAGTATAAAATTCAACTTATGTTCACATTTTTGTTGCAGAGAAGTAAGATGGGGTGATAATAAAAGATAATTTAGGATAATTTTCTTTATGGACAATGGAACAGAAATTACTTCAAGGATGAAAAATTTGTGTTGCTGAGGACTGAACCCAGGGCTTTGCACAAGTACTTGATTGCTGAGCTACTCCCCCAGTCCTAAGTATGCATTCAAGAAAGTTTGTTCATGAATGATAGTACATTATCAAGTGGCTATGATATTGAGATTGCCTCCAATATATTTAAAAATTTATTTTTTAAATACTCATATTTAAAATAAGCTGAAAATTACATCCTTTCCAACTATCATAATTTATGACAAAAAACTTTAGATGTCAATTTAAAATATGCAGTTCTACTAAATCTGCTTTAAAAGATTTAGTTACAAAGACATAGGCAAACCACAGAATAGAGGAACTGAAGGAATATGGTAAAATGAGGCAGAGTAGGTCATCAAATCACAAACGGGTAGGTAGGCCTCATTTAAAAAATTGGACTTAATTCTGTAGGTCTCAAGTAGGATAATTTCTTTGCAGACTAGGAAGTTAACTCTATTATGAAAATTTAGATATATTTTTGTCTCTGCAATCCAAAAGTAGCTGAATCTCTCCTAATAGAGGACCAACAATCTAAGCTCTGGGAAACTCCTTCACTTGAACACACACTTTAACTTCAATAAACTCAATCTGATAGAATTTGTCAGCATTCTTCATAAAATCTATGTACCTGGTAAATAAACTATATCTAGGTTAAAGAAATGTTGAATATCTATCAGAAAAACTTGTAGCTACTACTACTTTAAAAACATACTTCATATAAATTATGGGTGATTTCCCATCAAAAATATCAGAATGTTCAAAGATATAAAAATAAACTTACATGCCATGATCAATGCATTCTACAACTTTGCCAAAGGCCCCTTCACCCAAAGTGTCCACGATTTCATCTAAAGTGAGGGAGAGAAAAAGAGGTATAAGTAACTAAGTATAAATTAACTAGTTATTCAAACAATGAATGCTTAAGTGTGGAATATTTTCAAATGATCTCTAACAAGCATAACTAATGTTTCAGCACTCAAATTATTTTATTTTCATCTGCTACAAAAACAATTAGATAGAGCTATCTTTCTTGCTCTAATCTCAAATTCCACTGATTATTTTGGAACTTTAGAGTAGAAATATTTAAATTCTACAGAAAAGAAGAAATACAAAAGAACAAACCAACCCACAAAAAACAAAACAAAAAAAGCAATGAAGAGTTCTTTAGCCCCCCGCTGACAAACTATTCTTAAAAAGATTATTCTGTCTGCAAAGTTTAAAAAGTGTTGAAAAATATTCTATACATCTTGCTCTTAGAACGTCTCCACTTTGACAGATCAGGTGACCCTCCTCATCATCCTCTATACTCCTGGATCTTTTCCTTCGGTGGCTCTTCTGGAACGGCAAGTGGGCAGCACCAAGATCGTCCAGCCAATCAATATATCAGAGTGAATTCAGGGCAGAATACGCAATTCATTCAGCGGGGAGATATTCAGGCATTCAGATAAGCACCAGGCCACGAACAGTTGGCAGGAGCAATTTCAAATTCAGTCCCCAGAAATTCACAGGGCACAGTTTATGTTACAGAAGAAAAACATGGCAAGGAACAGATTTTCAGATAAGATACTTAAAGTGGCAATAGAAAAACAACACAATTGTCTCTTTAAAATACTGATTTAATTGAAGTCTGAAATTTAAAGAATGCAATGTCATGATTTACTAATCTCTTGCTATAACTAGCATATGCTGTGAGTTGAGATGTCTAGTTTGTCAGAAAAATGTTTTAAAATGTCAAGATTGTTGTAACTGTCTTATTTAGCAATATTCTGAAATATACATGATTAAAATCAAAGGGGAAAACAAAGGCTAGTTAATTTCAATGTTCAATCCAATAACAGCTAATTCTATCAAACAAAGGTTGGGGAGAAAAACTGCAATTCAGTTTACAGATTAAAACAATGAAGATGTCCATTTAAAAAAAAAATTTGGCTTTTTAAAAATATGTTTCCCATTCAGCACCCATATTCACAATTTCAATAGATGTAGTTACACAATGATGCACTGTATTAAGGATTATGCTATATACAGGTTAACAACATTTAAGTATCAGTGCAACTTTCCATTTTGTTTTTAAGTATTAGGAAAGAGGTTTCTTTCAAAGTAAAATAATATTTCAATTGAAAGAACAAATGGGTGCATTATTTTTCATAAGATTATATTATACAAACACAAAAATGAAATAAATTCTATAATTAAAATCAACAAACTCATGATCTGGTCTGTAGAATGAGTAAATGTGGGCAAGTGAGGGCTAGCTAATAAATATACAGATCAGCTATGAGAATGTGGACGTTTCCTTTAAGGATTCAAGTAATATAATAATTATATCCAAATAGCATTACATATATAAAGAAACTTTTAGAAACTTATCAGCTCCTTAAGAGCTTTTACACACAATTAAGAATCCACTCAAAATAAAAACAAAATCAATCATACCGAACGTGACTGATGACTTGAACAGTGTCTATTATGCTTCCTTTTAGGACTGCTTCTCCTGCTTCGGACTGAGGATTTACTGCAGTGGATTCGATAAGCACTTTCAATGTCTCTGTGATAATGTCTAGGAATATATCCTTCACAGTAGTCATTTCTGTATTCATCAACGTATCTCCGGTCCCGATAATCTCTCTCATTCAAGGACCTTGCTTCTAAATAATGACTGCAAACACATTAAAGGATTTCAAATCATTCTCTTCATTTTGGAATAAATGGTCAAATAAAACACACAAGAATTCCTGATTTAAATAATGAAAGAAAAAAAAATCACAAGTTAAAATTTATATAATACTTATCTCACAAACTTAAGAAATAACTTTAACCAACAAGCAAATGGGTCCATGTTTCTCCATTATAAAAATTGCTGTCAAGCACTTCATAGCAAGGAACAACAACAAAAAAAGCTTAAGTCAAATTATGTTTAGTGTTTACCTAAGTGCTCCTTTACCTTCTGGACAAAATTAAAATCAAAATTCACTCTCCTGGAACTCGTCAGTCTTATATGCATCTGAAACTAAGCTTCCTTTTCTCTCTCAGACACACACACAATCAGAGGCAGGCAAAATAGGATTCCTTTCTCTTTTAATGTTAAGTGCGTTTTAGACATCCTAGCAGAAAATTCTTCCATGAAAGGTGTCTTAGAGATACAAGGAGCCCTGAATGTATTCTAGCCTTCTCATTTTAATGATGACTAAATTAAAACTCCCTAAATAATATGCACATTAGTGACAAAAACTGAGACATTTTCAAACTACTTATTTTACATCACTTATTCTGTCTTTTCTTTGCATTTCTAGCCTTGTTATTCCTGCTTGAGAAACAGACAACTTTCAGTACTGCCTACTCTGCTGAAGACATCTGCAAGATATGTTCCACAAATGAGAAAGGGATCCTGTGATTGCTTGCCTAGGATTACATAAGTCCCTCCACCCTACTTCCCTTTGCATTTCTAATTTCCCATCATTCCTGCTTGAGAAACACACAAGAAACACATGATAGAAAACATCATTATCTAGTGCCACAGTACTTGGATCTACAGATCCCTTTGAGAATATGATGAAAGTTGTGGACCCCTCTTCCCTAAGAAACACACAAATGCATGAACAAAACTTGGCAAATAGTTTCATAGAGGTCATGGACCTCAGGAAGTCAATGGATCCCAGTTAAGTAGCCTTGATCTGATGGAAAGAAAAGGACATAGAGATTCAATTGGCCCAGTTTCCCGTCCCCCTCTCTACCTGGGATGAGTGTCCTCTTCAACAGAGTGCGAAGCTTCAAGAGGGATGCACATGGAGCACTGAGGGAGAGAGGGGACACCTGCCCAGTCAGACAAATTAGCTAAAATAATCCTGACAAGCAATGGAGTGACAGATGTTGCCTAAAATGCCCTCACCAACCCCTTTAGGTTCCCCAGAATATGCTGTCATTTTTTCCCCAGAGTTCTGGTTTAGGCAGAAATAAAGGAGAGAAACACCCTTAAAACCACTACCCCAAAACAAGGCTGGCATCTAGTACTACCCAATTCAGGCGGAAGATGCATGACCCATTCTTATTCCCTAGAGTCAGTCTAAGTTCTAGCCACTGGAGAAATAACTCAGGATTTTAGGGAAAGATTGTGGGGGTCTAGGTTAGCTGTTTTGAAAGTGTCAGGGAGAACTCTCCACCACAAGCTAGGAAGTACACACTCATTAAGCATATCCTATCTAGTTCTGTAAGGCATCCTTCCCACAAAAATCCCAAAATCGTGCTATCAGAAAAAACACAAACAATCATTAGTTGGAATACTACATAAAATCAGAGCTGCTGATAATCCAAAAGCAATATATAGAAAAACAAAACGGCATGATGCAATACCATGAGGAAAAACTAAAAAGACTGGAACCTTTTCAATCTATAATGACCAATGACCAAGGCTGAGAGATTATATAAACAAAAACTATAGAATCATACAGGCTATGGACACGGTAAACAAAATGAACAGACTGATTAAATTTTTACAAATATTCACTGAATGCCCAGTGAATATTTCACTGTAGCCTTTCAAAATAGTCAAAACTAATGAGGATAGGGGCATTCATTTTTATTTCCACACAGGTCCTGTGGGAAATAAAAAAAAAAAAATTATATAAGGCAAAGTCCCTGCCAACAAATAATGAACAATTTGAGACCATCACATAAAAATAAAACAAAACCCAACAATGAAGGAAATACTGAAAGGTTGGATGTGAGTGCTTAAGAGTCAGAGAAAGGAAAAAACTCAAATCTGCTTAAAATAGTCAGGGAAGAATTCATGAAAAAGATGGGAACAGAGTTTCACTGTAAAGGGAAGCCAGGATATGGACAAAGGGGAAAGTAGAAGAAATTCCAAGGGAGAAAAATGGCATATTATCACTTTACATTTAAAGTACTTTTAGCCACAATGGCTTAGAGATGGATTTGTCTATGTATTACTCAGGTAATAATAGCAAGAGCAATGTTCACCCTGAGAAATATAGCAATTCTCTGGCTGAAAATATATCATTAAAAGCTCAGGCTAAGGAGTGTATCTCAAATAGTTTGTCTATTAAATAACAACTTAGAATAAGGAGTTCTTACTAAAAATGAGATTCCTGGGCTTCAGGGTCATACTTATTGATCAAATCTGCATTTGAAACACACCTCCAAGGTGATTCCTATTTACACTAAACTGGTTTAAGACCTGATACCTTGTTATAGAAAGACATTTAAGGATATAAAAGTGGTATTTACAGTCACATCATCTTCTCAATAAGTGTGCAGAATGGATTAAGCCTGTAGGAAGAGAGACCAACTCACAGGCTACTGCTAAAAGACGAATCACAAAGAAAAGACACTTTGCAATATATGTGACAAAGGGCTAAAATAATGGGAACATGAAGAAGCATTTTTTAGAAATACAATTTGGTTATGAACCTTCTAAGAAAAGGAAAATATTTAAGAATCATCTTTTAAGAGTTCATACCCTTTAGCCTCTTGGAATCTATATTCAAGAAATAATCAGAGGCAAAGATTTGTGAAACCTTTTTAAACAAATAATAATTTACATCTAAATAGGGGGCCACTATAAAGGTTACCTTCTTCACATTTTTCTGGATTTAAATTTTTTTTCTATAGTTTTATAAAAACTACTCATAAAGTTTTTAACCTTCAAAAAGAATTTTTTGGATTATGATCAACAATTACCACCAAATATGTCTGAGGCTAATGTCAAAGAAGAAAGTACTGGTCTGGTGGTTAATTAGATTGACTGGGTATTATGTTTATGTAGTTAACTATAAATATGAATCAATCAAATCACTTCCTTTGTACATACACAATATATAATAACTTATGAATAATGATTATTATGATGTTAACCTTATTTTGTATACTTATCAATATACTGGGATAGATATGATTTTTATATTATACTATACATCAATTTGCTCTAGTCACTGAAATCCTACATTCAACCTCCCTCCACATTCCCTTATGTAACAGTGTTTAAAAAAGCATGATTAGTCTACACTGACTACCAATAAGCTCACTGTTTAGCAGAACAAGTCTATTTAGCATGGAGGAGGAAAAAAATTACATACTGTTTTTTAAAGTAACCCCAGCTGGCTAATTTAGAAAGCAATCTAGTAAACAGTCCCAATGGAACATCTGCACAAACAAGGAGAAAACATAAAACCAACACAAAACAAATGAGAAAGGGAAATTAATGGAAGAGAGTGTGCAAGAAACTCTATTCATCTAGCCTTTAATATTTAGAACTTTAGGATTCCTTTAATTCTATATAAATGTATTACCTCCAAATTTTACACCAGTAAAAATACAAAAAAAAAAAAAAAAA